AATGGAAATTTTAGATATATGAGCTAATAATGCTTTTGTCAGGTTATGTTCCCAATTTAGACGATATAAGCTCGACGTTATTAGAATGCTGAAGTTTATTTAAGGGAAAAGCTCTTTGTGATTGTGTTTTAACAATGTGTGTAAGACTAAATACAAGTGTCTACTATATGCTCAGCGCTGTTCTTCATTGTATCATTATAGTTAAATGACTCGACTGATGTCTATTTTCTTTAGCATATATCCGTCTGCAGCATTGCCACAATCGCTCTTCTATTTTTCTTTCCCTTACTGTATAGCTTGCAATACTTTTTCTCTGTCTTCTGAGGATAAGGATTGTTTTTTCTTGAGTATAGTAAGCCACCTACACAATAAAGTAACAGTCCATAATATAATATCCGATGTTTCTTATAAAAACCATTTCACTAATTCGTTTATTTTTCATCTAGACTACTAGGGAAGATGATATTTTTTAGATATATAGTTAAAATGTTTTCAAAACATTAACTTGAAAGGTGTGGGTTGTGCGTTGGGTTGGTTTTGTGGGTTTGAAATGTCACATTGAGGTCTTGGGCACATTCCATCTACAAAAATAAGTAACACCGGCGAACTCAAGTTGCTTTGACGATAACTCTTTAATTGTATTGCGGTACTCACTTAAGAGTTATACTAACGTACCACTAAACTTTCAATTTATTTCAAATTAGAAATTTGCTTGGAGCAAATAAATTCCTAATTGAAATCCGTACATATGCAGTATTAATCTGTAAATGTGTGGTTTTTGTTTTAATTGCTTCTTATGAACTGTGCATGAGGCATCATAAAACGACGTGAATCTATGGTAAATACATTTCAATGTTTAAAAAACACATTTTTTTATTTCGTATTAGAAATCGTTTCATTAAATAATTTGAATAGCTTTAGTATCTTAGTTCTTTTATATTGCGAATTTTTTTTTTTTTTATTTTAAATACTTTTCTGCTTAATAAACTTAATCTATACAAAGAAATGACTGGCCATTAAGTTGGTATTATTTTATGCGAAATGTTTTGAAAACGTTTTGGGAAAGGTGTTTCACCAAGGTGAATTTAACCATAAAGTTGCTTAAATCTGTTGTTTATTGCCTTCTTAGTTCATCAGTATTTTTTCGAATAATTTCCACAATTAGAAAAAAAACATGATTTTTTTTTATTTCTGAATGTATTATTCTGATTATTACTATATAATTTATATTATAAAATATGTTATTGGTTTATTTCATCTGACTTTTGAATATACCATAAATGTGCTATTGGCTGTAATATTGTAATTAGCTCTAATAATTATTGATTTACTTTGTGTGGATATACACAATATAGAACATCACAAATAACTTATTATGTGAACGGGAGAAACAAAATCTATTTGAACACTGGAAAGCTGAAACAGGCATGCGGCAGTTCAGAAGATTTACCGATTCTGAACACATGAAAGTTGACTAACGATCACTGTAGACTTAATTACCACGTAAAGAATGTAGGTGCTATTATTCCTGTCGACTCAATCTTGAAAAGAATGAAACATCAGAACATAACCTATGCAACTGCCCAGCGGCGGCAAGACGTAGAGTCGCCTTGGAAGCGGGGTCTTAGTTCCAAAGCAAATAGGAAAAATTAAGCCAACAGCTATTACGAGATTTATAAATAGTCTAGAATTGTTTTAGTTGGGCCTTTAGGCGCACAATAGATTTTTTAAAAAACGGTGTGCATTCAAAGCATATTATTTAATGATAATAATAATATAGAACATGATGTAGCAGAATTTGTTGGTTATTATGACAGGGAAATTTTAAAGTACATATACCTACTATTATAATAACATAAAATATGCTAACTAATGTTGTATACGTTATGTTGTATACATAATAATTTTTTATAAATTTTATATAATTATATTATGTTATATTATATTACGTTTTCGATTGTTTGGCAAGTTTGTTGTTTATTGCACTTTCTACTTATGGATGATACTTATGGATTAATTCTATTCAGCATACATTGCATCATCATAACTTTGAAGTGTTATATCTCGACTATTATTTTCAATCCAAAATATTGCTTTGCGATATTTCCATTTTCTTATAACAGGCAAAACAGCATAGCCTTTGCCTTGCAATAAATTTAAGAAGGGCTTAAAAATTTCCTCCGACTTTAATTTTGCAAACACATATATTGTTCTTTTATGCATTTCAAAATCACCCAGTTGTAGAAAAACAGTTTTAGTTGCCTCAAATATAACCCCAGCTTTCTCGAACTGTTGATGTTGCCATAGAATTTTGCCAAACTCAAGTAATGCTTTCCCATGTAAATGCGAAAAATTGAATTTCTTCATTAGTAGTAGGCATTCCTCAAACTTTTCTTCATAACTTTCAAGCTTATCTAATCTAAAAATTAATAAATAAATTATGAAAAATAGTTCATACAATTTAGCAAAAGTACATACTCTCCGTCGCAGATTGCATCGTATAAACTTATCTTACAGAATAGTATTTTAACTTGATCTGTATCTTGATCGTTGATTGTTTTTGGGAAATAAGGTTTCATATTTGTAATATGGGTAAATGCGGTATCAAAGTCTCTGTTACCTAATAAAATTTCTACGAGTGTTAAACGTGCTTCCAAAAAAAGATATAAGTTGTTTTTTATGCCTCCTGCAATAGCATTTTATATAATTATTTATTTATGTCATGAGATTAACATTTTTCAAAAAAATCTTACTTTCTGCTATTGTTAATATTGCTTTTCTTGCATAATCAATCGCTTCTTCGGAATTTGTTTTCTGCACCACTTTACTGTATTTAATTAGCATTATGGTTAAACGTTCTCCCGTTGCCTGGTGTAATGTGTAACGCTCACTCAAACCTATTGATCCCTCAGTTCCCCAATCTTGAGACCTTGTCAACATTTCTGTCTTTTCAAAATATTGAATTGCAGTTAGGTCCCCTCTACCTAACATAAGAATTTATTGTATTAAATGATTATAAGAAATTTCATATTACCTGTATCCTGTAAAAACTTGGCAAGCGAGAAGTAAATACGTGCTATACTCTCGATCCCTTCAAAATATACGTGAACGTTATCCACAATTGTACAAAGTTGATCTTTATTTGATTTTGCATTGGCAATATATTTATCGCAGTGCTCCGCTATAAAGAGAAATGATTCGCCTACTATTACCTCATGTGAACGTTCATACGGTTCTAGTAATTTAATGGTGCAATACAGTAAATGAAAGCATTCACTATATGAGCCACAAAGTTCCTTTACACTTAGCTCTTCAGCGGCTTTGATGTTATTAAATATTTTAACTAAAAGTTCCTCATTACTGATTAAAGGCGAATATGTATTTATTTTTTTAAGTAATTCTTTTTCCTTTCTAATAATCGCCTCGAAACCGCTAGCACACTTTGTGCAGCCCGACTCATATAGTTCGATTAAGAGCGCTTGAGCAAGTGGCACCACCTTACGTCTAGCTTCAACATATGACAAAGGCTTGACATTGGCTAAGATTTTCTGCTTATCTAAATGGGTGTATGCAGACTTAGTGTTTGAATACATTTTGCCAAAAATTGCTTTCGTTACAAAAGTATAAAAATAAAAACGCGTATAAAAGTAGCAAAAATGCAAATGTATAAAAATACAAATAAGTAAACAAAATAAAAAAGTGGAAACAGAATTAAAAAAATAAAAAAGAATATTATTAATTAATTAATTAATTAATTGTATTATATACAATAAAAACTTTGACATTTTTTTTTTTAAACTCACAGGTTACTTTTTAATTAATTGAATTATTGGGTGATCATACAGCTGTTTCGAGTATTGCCAAATAACCATCATCAGTGGTCTTGAAAATAATTTTGTTTTTGAGACTCCAAGTACCAAGAATCGAACTCGTGCCCTGCCAAATTTGAAGCTCAGAGTCAGCGATCCTTAACCAACTGATTCAAAGCTGCACCTGACTTTTATGTTCGCATATTTTTCTGGAGTTTTGCTATGAAAGTGTTATTAACAAATTCACTTGTGTTTATATTAGAATGAAATCATATACCAGCTATAGAATAATTGCATTAATTATTAATATATTTTTATATATAATTGTTTAATTTCAATACTATTCTGTTTGTTTCCTATTATTATTAATAAATGAATTTCTATACAATAAATGGTACACTTTCGCTGGTTTCCTTCACTTTCGTTAGAAACGGACAGTTTCTCTATTTTAAAGGCAGTGCACGTGGCTCGAACGTCAAACATGTTGTGTTTATGTTCGTTGCTTCGAGCAGCTGATTTTTAATCATAAACAAATTTCACACTTTTCCTTACAACGTCATCGTTAGGCGAGGCGGCGGGTACAAAAATTTGCTTGAATCTGTTAAACGGAAAATTTCGTGCAAAAGATTTTCTCAGTCAATGCGTTGACATCGTTGCGTGCAGAAGCATTTGCCGCGAAGAAAAACGCGTAGAAGTAAGGAAAACTGCGGTGTGCGGTCAATATTCGGCGTGTTTCCATGAAGACTAACGCAACGAGTTGTGGGATAAAATTCATATAATTCTACTAAATTAAAAAAAAAACAATTAACATCAATTAAAAAAATTTCTAAAAGTTAATTATAAAAATTTAAAATAATTAAATTTAATTTATAATAAAATATATTTATATTTAATATAGTCTTCTATTCATTTCACATATACAGCTTTCTATATACATATATAAAAATTAAACTAATGCAAAATAAAATAATAAAAGAATAAAAATAATAAGAGAATAAAAATATATTACTAAAAATTTAATTTAAATAAAATACTTAATGTAATAAAATTGTGTACAAAATAAAAATAAATTTAATAAAAAGTTAAATATTTGAACGAATTAAATCGATATAATCATATGCTACAGCATTCAGCAATTTTACTAAGTTATGGCGTTTAGATTAATAGTTTTGTTACTCATACGACATGACAAGAATTTTGTAGAAAATTTATAAAAATATCAATCAGTAAGAAAAAATGATAAATGATAATAAAACGTGAAACGTGAAGTAAGATATTTACACAAGGAAGGGCTTCAGAAATAATTTTCTCTCATATCAAAAGTGTTTAAATTCAATGAGATCCGCGGAAATAAGTTACTAATTTAATGTTAACAAATTTAATAATATAAATTAAAATATTGCTAAAGCAACAACAATGTTAGAATTTGATTCTTCAGATGAAGCCAATACTGAGCTTTTAGAGAAACTAAAACATTTAGATGTACGCCCAGAAACAGTCGAAAGTGGTGGCATTTGTGGTAAAAGCTGTTGGAAATCATTAAAATGGAAGTCTGCGCTAGGTCATGTAGGTCTATTGGTCTCATTATCAATATATTGTGGTGTAGGGGGCTTGGTAAGTTTGTTAAATAAATTAATTAAAATTATTTTTAAATTAATATGTAATAGTGTAAAAGTATGTGTTTTAAAAATTCGCTGCTTCACTTTATTGTAATTAGGTTGAAGGTCTTTTGACTTTATATAGTTCTATATATTGGTTCTATACAATATAAAAACAACTGTTTAATAATATTTAATAATATATAACAATAATATATAATATATAATATCATAAACCAATTTACTCAATTGCAATCAACTATTGCTATAGATCTGGTGAATTCATTTTTTTTATATGGTAATCTGTGCTGAAGAGTGTTAAGAGTCTCTACGTTTGTATTGGATATTCATAGATAAATATTATTAAAGAGCAGTTTATCTGAAATGGTTATTCTTTTTTTTTAAAATATTAATTATATTTCATTTGGAATGGTTATTCTCTTCAAAAGATCATAGAACATAAAATGAAAATGATAAAGAATTTCTTTCTTTTTGGTAGGGTGCAACTATAATATAGTTAAAGCAATATGTGCTACAAAGAAATCAGTTATGACTACCTTTACTCTGAGCACATTACTTCTATATCTGCTTATCAGCAATAATATTTGTTTAAGATTATCTCTAGGTCGAAAAGTTTCAAAAAATATTTGAAAATTTTAAGTATTACAAAAAATATCGACTGTTTACTGCTTTGAGAAACTTAATCGCGTCTGCAATTGTGATGATTAAACTGCTGTTCACTTACACGTAATTTACAAACGAAAAACAGTTGACGAATTTTTCTTTAGCAGTAAACGAAATAATTTTTAGAGAGAAATTGTCATATAAAAGAATTATATTAACATTTCCAAAAGACCTACAGTTCACTTGTAGTATTATTGCTGTATATAATACATATAAGTGTATTACTTACTTACTTGGTTGGCCATTACAGACGTGAGTCTTCCTTCGCCGCGTCGAGTAGCCTCCGCCAGTCAGCTCGATTAGTAGCTTACTGTCGCCAGTTGGTATTACCGAGTGTCCCAAATCGTTAGTCACCTAGTCCTTTCACCGAAGATGCGAACGTCCTCTACTGCGGTTTCCATCTGCGGGTACCAAATCAAACACCTTTCTAGCCAGAGCACTTTCTTCCAATCGCACGACATGACAAAGCCAGCGAAGCCGCTGAATGTATAAGTGTATTAATAGTATTAATAAAATTAAAATTGTTGGTTACACATTTCGATATACTATATATTTGGCATTTCAATTTTAAAATTTTTTTGCTTGCTTTGCAATATTTTAGTATTATTTAGAATTTGTCTAAAAATTTTGTTTTTAGTATTACATAAACCACTTGCAATATCACAGTTTTATAAGCTTTTATAATAGACAGATTTATATTAAAATAGTTTCAGTTATATGTGTTGTAAAATTATTCGTTAAAATTTCAAACGATTTTTTTTGCTAATAATTTCATCTGCTTAAATTCAGTACTTGAAATCCTTTGTAAGATAATATAACTGAAAAGACCAGTCGATTGATAATGTGCCTAACATAACGATCATCTGTTTGAAGTCAGTACTTGAAATCCTTTGTAAGATAACATAACTTGAAAGATCAGCCGGTTAATAATGTTTCTAACATAGCGATCTAACATAACATTGCACTGTTAAGGCAGGCTTGGCATATAACATTTTCCAGACTCACTAAATAACAGCGTTCATTTATTTCTTTATATTTATTTATGATAAGAGTAAGAGATTTTTAATTTAAATCTTATATATCAAATAATAATATTTTATTAACTTATATTTGTTATTTTTATACTTCACTATTTTCCGAAAAACCTCTTTATTAACTCATACCATTTTAAAATTTATTATTATAACTTATTATTATAAGTATTGCTTTAGTCTGTCTGAACGTCTATTACAATATAAAATTTTAATCATCCACAGCTGTTCTAAATTACTTGTTCACTTCCATGAATATTATTTAATATTATTTTTATTATTTTTGCAATATATTTTTATCCAATTTAATAAAAAAACTTAATAACCAAATGTTTTCACTCAAAATAAATTCTACTAATTACATCCACAATATAAAGCAAGTGATGAATATTTTTTAATTTAATTTTATTGTGTTCTATTTATGATTTCAAAAGCGGTCAAAGACATTGGGCTGCCTGCTTCAAGACGAGTTAATCTTGTTAAAGTGCTAAAATGATTAATTTGCAGTTCATTTGTTCTATTTTTTTTTTTGTTTTTTTTTTTTTTGATGTACACAAATCAATCGCACGTCAAAACAAGCAAACGATTTTCATATGAAAGTTCATATAATAATTTAATTTTAAGTGCAAACAAATTTTATTTCAAAAATATAAAAATCACGTTTAGTATAAGGAAATTTAGTTTTAAGAATTTTACCAGATGTTAACATGCAGCTAGGCATATAGCTAAGCATATGAAAATATACTCTCAGGAATTAAAGTAGTCAAAATACAAAAAAAAAAATCGAAATGTTTATTTTGCTAAGTTGAAGGACTTTCTCAAATAATTATCCATGTCATTAAATTTTGTTACTTTTTCAAATCAAAGAAATTCTTTATTTTATAATAAAAAGAAGGTTGTGTATCTAAAAAAAATTTAGATAGTTCTGAATATTTTGTGCATAAAATTTAAATGCGGTAAATGTGTACAACTGATTTTAAATGCCACGATTAATTGTTTTTAGTGTGATTTTAGTGTGATTTTAGAGTGAAGTTAATATAAATTATAAACAAATTATAATTTATAATAATTTATAAATTATAAATTATGTTGATGCTAGTTGAGTCAGTGTACTTAAGCACTTTTACTCTCTATTAACAGCGAGGTTTCTTCATAACCCCTCTCTACACCTTGACTGCATTATTGTTTAACACTTCATCAGACTAAGCAATAATTGACCTCAGATCTGCATACCTCCCTGAGGCGCCTGTAACCGTTCTGAGATTCGACAACGCGGTGTTGGTAAGCCTGTCAATTTTCGTAAATTATTTCAGGGCTCTATCCTTTATGTATTTTTTGATTGGATCCATCTTAAGGTCCTTGTGGATGTCATTTGTCCTAATGTACCATGGTACCTTGGAAAGTCTTCTCAGACCCTAGCTTTGTGCAATGTTTAGCTGGCTTATTATAGTGTTTGAGGCTTTGCTAAACACTACACATCCATATAGAAGTGACGGTCGAATTATTTGGTTATCCTGTTCTTTTTATTGAGATTTTCATTTTTAAATAGTGGTTGGAGGTGATGAAGAATTTTAGCACATATAATTCTTTTCAATTGAACATGTTTAAGCCATTTGAATTGTTTGTTCACCGTGATGCCTAGATATTTAATGCTATATATCTCCCACTCCCACTCTCACTCTTGACTGGTTCTGTTTCCACTTACGCGTCGTAATAAACAGACTAAGGCTCTATTGTTGCTAACTGTTGAAATCGCGTCATTACAGCGCAAAGCGCATTGCCTTCGTTGCAATATAACCTAAATATATTTGAGTTTTTTTACTCATTCATTCTTAAAATAAAATTTTTTAATCTGTAGTTCAAATTTACACCTATGCTTCAGTGAAAATAATTTTCTAAAGTTTATTTTTATAGTCTGCAATACAAATCACAGCAAACGGAAATTGCTCTAACTACTTAAAGGATATCTCAACATGACATTGACAAGCATTTAATCAGGTTACTTGCGACTGCAGAAAAAAAGTCAGGTGTCGCAGTAAACCATTCACATAATCGTTGAAATGCGTGCGATATAGTACTTCTAGAAGATTACCTGCAACGATGGAATACTGTAATGTCGACTTTAAAAGCATTTATTTAGCAATGGGTAATGCATATATTGTATGAAGAAAAAAAATATTAAATCAAAAACACTTGAATACTACATATATGAAGAAATTGCTTTTTTATATTTGTAAACGTTTAAAAGAACACATTAAAAAAATATATTAAAGCCACCACAGAACAATAATATTGTATATAAGAATTATGCGTGCTGCACAGTGGCCTAGTGTAGTTGGAGAGCTACAGGGTCTATCATTTCTCGAGTGGCAAACGCAACAATAGCCTGTAATACGATTATGTTTTATATGTCACATATTATATGGTATGTAATATATAGTCATGTGTTTGCACGCATTAAGTGAATAAAATGACACAAGTTAATTCAGTTTTAGTAGTTTCAATTTATTAGTTTTTAAATTCAGTATTTATAATTTTTAATATTTTTAATTAATATATTTTTCAAACATTCAATTTTAACTTTATACTTTAATACATCAATTTAATATTTTTGTAATTTTTAACATGTTTAATTTCTGGTTAAAATTTGTTCTAATATTCTTCACTTTCAATTACTTAAATAAATTTTACATATTTTTATATTTCAATATTAATTTCTAATTTAGATTTTTTTTATTTTCCACTTTTAATTATTTGAATGAATTTACAAATATTAACTTCTATTCCAGATTTTCCACTTTTTTAATTAATTAAATGAATTTACAAATATTATATTAATATTTAATCTTTAAAATATTAATATCACTAATTTTCACTTTTAAGTATTAAAATGAATTTTACAAATATTATATTAATATTTAATCTTTAAAATATTAATATTTAATCTTTAAAATATTAATATTACTATTTTTCACTTTTAAATATTAAAATGAATTTTACAAATATTATATTAATATTTAATCTTTAAAATATTAATATTACTATTTTTCACTTTTAAATATTAAAACAAAGGAAGGCACAACTTCGCGATGGAGACGATTGTAATCTTTCACAAAATCTGTACTTAACAGGATTGATCTTAGGGTTTTATACTCGGTTTAACAGAGACAAATTCAAGCTCTCAAAAGCTATATTTTGGAGCTTTGAATTTTGTATTTAAAATTTATGATGTGACCAATTTTTGTATGCAACAATGTAGTTGATACATTGTGGCAATATTGAGAGAAAAATATTAGCATCT